GTCAGGGTCCCTCCTTGGGGATGGAGCCTGCAAGTGCTCCCTGAAGGGTGGTGGCCCTCCTTCCTCTAGAACAGGCATCCCCAAACTACGGCCCGCGGGCCACATGCAGCCCCCTGATGCCATTTAGCCGGCCCCCCGCCGCACTTCAGGAAGGGGCACCTCTTTCATTGGTGGTCAGTGAGAGGAGCACAGTATGTGGCGGCCCTCCAACGGTCTGAGGGACAGTGAACTGGACCCCTGTGTAAAAAGTTTGGGGACGCCTGGTCTAGAAGGTGGAGGCTTTCCTTCATCTGGGCCGGCTCCTTCCTTCTGACAGTGAGCCTCCTGCCATGAACTCAACAGGACATGCAGCCTCCCGAGCCCACCACATCCTCAGCTTCTGCCAGTTCCCTCTGCAAAAGGCAGCTGAGCACTGGCCACCACCTACCACAAAGAAAGGACCCAGGGCTCCATGGGGACAGTCCCTACTGAAGCCCACCAGCCCAGAAGGCTCAAGGAAGAAGAGCTTCACCTTATGGGGCTAAGAGCAGAGCAAGGAGTGAGGGAGGAATTCAGACACACAGACACACACACACACACACACACACACACACACGAACATGCATGCAGGCACTGGGTGCATACAGGCTGGAAAGGTGAGCACGTCTCACCACACCACCCCCAGGACTCACAGCCAGCACGCTCACGGCAACTCTCTGGGGAGAAGCTGAACCAGCGCCCTCTGGAAGGGGGCCCGTCTAGGGTGCAGTGCAGCACTGCCTGCCAGCGCAAAGCAGCCTTCCCCTGGGGAGGCGGTGGTCCTTCTCTGCCTCTCGGGCCTGGCAGACCAGGCCCTTTCACGGACGCCCCTCCCTGACTCCCAGCTCTGCACCACTGGGTCTGCATTTCCATGCCTATTTTAGGGTTGAGAAAATGGGCTTCGTAAAGCTTTCCAGGGTATAAGCGGCACAGCCAGAACTGGAACCTGCCCACATTCTGATCTCTTTCCACTGCCTCTAGATAAGACACCCCATCTTAGCTGAGGGGCCCAGAACCACAGGCAGGGACACAAGGGGAGCAGGTGCCTGTGTGCCCATAACGCCTGCACCCTGGGTGCACCTGGACAGGAGCCAGCCAAAAAAGGCAATGGCAGCAGCAACGTGTCCCTGCAGTGGAAAGTGAGCCGTGGGGTAGGAGGAGGTGAGGAAAAGAGGGGGATAAGGCAGCCATGAGAAGAGGGATGAAGTCACCTAACTGCATGGCTGTCCATGAGTGAGTTTTTTCAAGGGAAAAAAAGGACGTGGCTCAAAAAAGTTACCTCCACTGGCCAAGAATCTATTTCACTGATGAGAAACACCAGTGATATACTGGGTTTCTTGGAGTGGAGTGTTAGCCCAACAGGACTAGAGATGACGCTGCACAAGGGCCGCGCTGGCAGCCCCACTGCTTGTCCATGTTGAGTAGGTGTGGGGTCTTCCAGACCAAGGTGGCCTTTGAATCCCGGGAGGTGACGCTCTGGGTGTCACACTGCCTCACACCGAAGCAGAACTCCAGAGTAACGAGAGTTGGTGAGAAAGCATCTTTACCAACAGACACACCGATAGATCGGGGCCATCACACTGGGCCTTGTTCTCATGAGTGCCTGGATGTTGCCAGAAGCTGTGAAATTTAAACCGTTATCTGGAGCTAGCAGGGCTTACTGCATCTTCCTTAACGACCAGATGACACACAGCAAGATAAGCCTGTTGAACATCTTGTCCAGATAGAGCACTGTTTATTCCCTCTCTTCTCTTTAAGAACAAAAGCAACCCCAGTGCGTATGCACGTTCTCTATCTCCCTCAAGATAAGATAACGGACGTCATCGAGTGCTGACCTCTATAAAGTGGCCTGAACAGGAGGGATTCCTCACAACACGGAACGTCTGTGTGCTTGAGCAAATGCACTGACAGACACACACATGCAAACACAAGCGTGCACACCCGCATGTCCTCACATGTTCTCACACGCAGGAACTCAGTCATGCATGCATGCACTGCGTACACAGCCATAAGTACATGCACACACACACACTCAAGCACATATGCACCACTCTGCCGGGCCTCCTCAACCCTCCCAAATATTCCACACAGCACATATTTAACTGCCACAAAACAGAGTTCATGTGGAACCGGGGGATCGATCTGGGGTCCCTCCCTTGCCCTTTTGAGTCTGTGCAACTGCAGGACAGAGGAAGAGAAACAAGTCCCAACCCGGAGAAAGCACCAAGATGATGCTCCTGCAGAGCAAGAAAGAAGACAGGCGCTCCCGGCCGTCCAAGACGGGCTTGCGTGTTTCACAGCTGGAGGCTCTGCTTTCTCCAAGCTCTTCTGTTTCATTGCTTCTGTTTACTTTGAAAATAATAAATACTACTTAGGTGGCAGGAACAGAATACTGACATACTAAAAAGGATGTCTGAGATAGCTCCTCAGTAAACTCAGTTCTCGTTTATACAAAGAAGGAAAAACGACTCGCCAAGCGGTATAACCAATGCAGCGCAGTCCAGCTCACTGTGGTCAAGTTGTGCAAAAGGCCTCGGAGTCTACGGAGCTGCCCTGCTGGATTACAGCTCAGGGATGTGTGCCGCAGAGGCTAAGCAAACACACATGCGGCGTCTACCATGTGGAGCCGCCCACAGTGGGTTCCCTGGGGAGCAATCCTAACACCAGCAAGAAAACTTAAGTGCCACACGCTAGGCTGTGTGCTTGGCGCCTGTCTTCTGCCCTTGCAATAGCCCTTACCCTAAGTCCTAGACCCTGAGCAAGAAGACTTTGCCCTTGTCAGGGGCAAGGCCAGGCCCCAGCTCTCTCTGACCTCCACCTTTGCTCCTAAATCAGACCTGTCCCCACACAGCACCTGACAGGCTGGAAGTCAGTTCAAGGGGAACCCTGGGTTGTGCAACTTTGCCTGAGATGTCATCACAGGGTGAGAAAGCTGAGAACAAGCCCACGATGTCCCTGCTGGTGCCACACTGCTCAAGACAGCTCTCCCCACACCCCCGACAGCTCTGCTGGCACAGGACCAGGGATCAACACCAGGCCTGACAGCTCTGATTCCCAGGCTCTCTGAGCTGCTGGTTTCATGGTTCCGATTCAACCATGACTTTCCTTTTCATTCTTTTCACACTTGAGAGTCATAGTTAGAGACTAAAATTTTCAAATACTGAGCATTTCTGTGAGGGTGACATTAAAAGACGGAGAGACTCCTTGGACTTCTATTTTTGCCGTGTTCCCAGAAAGGCACAAAGCCCCTACTGGACCCTGTAGGGTGGGACATGGAGGGGCTGCTGTATTTGCCCACAGACATTTTGGAACAAGCTTGACGGAGGACGCCAGTCAGAGAGCATCGGTGCTATTTCTCATTACCTTACACCTGCAGGCGCAAACAGAAGGGCCAACACACTTGGCTGACATGGCTCTCTTGAACTGAGCAAGCTGTGCAGGGAAAGGGTCAGTGACAGCCCATGGCATTCACAGATGACCATAATACCACCCAGTGCAGTGCCAGTTTCCAAACAGGGGCTTAAAATACAGTGGCTCATGCCTGTGATCCCAGCACTTTGAGAAGCCAAGGCAAGAGGATCACTGGAGGCCAGGAGTTTAAGACTAGCCTGGGCAACATAACAAGACTCTCTGTCTTGAAAAAAATAAGAAAATTAGCCGGCATGTGGCACAGGTCTATAGTGTAGCTACTGGAGAGGCTGAGGTGGGAGGATGGCTTGGGCCCAGGAGGTCAAGGCTGCAGTGAGCCCTGATCATGCCACTGCACTCCCACCTGGATGACAGAGCAAGACCCTGTCTCAAAAAAAAAAAAAAGGTTTTGAATCACAGGGTGTCACATCAGTTTGCTCTGAGTACACTGTAGCCCCTGTTCTCTGCCTTGGATGCAGATCTAGATGAATCACATAGATGGCTGCCTGGTCTCTGGCTTCTACTTAGAGACCAGGGTGGCCCCAGTACCCACCACTCATCCAACACATTCCTCAGCACAGACTTCTCCAAGGGACCGAGTCGGAGGAGGGGCACCCCAGCCTTCTCACCCAGGCTCAGGCCTCTGAACTGTAAAAGAATCCCTAGGGCCCCTTAGAGGCCCCAGGTCACATCCGCAACCCATCAGGTTTGATGCGTGCATCTTTCCAACATAGGCACCCTACTCTAAAGCAGCCATGAGGGACCACTTGCAGGGGCTGCAGGGAGGAAGGCACTGAGCGGGAGGTCCCAACAGCACAGAAGCCCACAGGCTGAGATTCTGCACATTTTCTAAAGGAAATCCCCAACCCCACAGATGAAAACGATGCCAAAGAGAAACCCCAGCACTCTCCAAGGGTCTAGTCAAGAATTAATTAGCAAACAGCACAGTTAGGTTATGAGGAAGTCTACTGGCTTTTCTGGTTCAAAGATGTTCTGTGGGGTGTACCCCACTGGTCCACCCAGCAGCCCTGCCCCCAACCATTCCCGCATTCATTAAAATCACACGTCTCATACTAGATTTATTAATGCACAGTCACAAAAGAATTAGCAAGTTCCATTCATTACTTGACTGTCTAAACATCAAGTAGCCAAGCTGGTGGCTTAGCTTAGTGACAAGATCTGAAAGGAGGCCATACCAAAATGAACCCTAATTCTAAAGACAGAAAAATTTCACTTGCAAACTTGAGTAAGAGATCTGAAAGTCAAATTAAATAAACTGAGTTATCGACACTTCAGAGCAGACCAGAGAATAAGTGATTAATTTACACACTGCTGCCTCCCCTCCCATCGAGGAAATCTGCTCTTTCTGTAAAAATGTCCTCATGAGCATGTATCTGTGTAAATACGGTTGGCCCCTGCTAAGTAAGGTGGGGTAACGGGGACACATAAGTTAACAAGGGGAATTCCATGATTTAACTTTCGGAAACTCCCCCAAAAAAGTTTTCTTTTTGTTTTTTTTGTTTGTTTGTTTTGCTTTGGATTAATCAGTGAGAGAATCATAAACACGGACTTACCTCGGCATGAAATGCCTTGACCATCAATAATCTGTTTGCAAACTCCACACACTTTGGATTTTTTTTTGAAGGCCTTGTTCTTAAAAGTGTGCAGACTCGAGGATAATTCTTCTGGCTGAAAAAGTAAAGGAAGAAACTGTCAGCATTTCCTCTCATAGTTGGTTTCTTTTTTCTTTTCCTTCTTGGGAGATAATAAATCTAGTGGAATTTGTAAAGAGCAAAAACAGGAACTTTAGCAAGCAAACAGAGAAAAAAAAAACCATCCTGGTGATCTAAACTTCCCAAGACGAGCCACGGATACCCTGTCAACATTCCCAATTCCAGAGTCCTAGACAGACGTTCACTCTCACCCAACTCATCAATCCCCACACTACATCAACCAACATCATGATGTGAAAATGCACTCCCGCCGGTCGTGGTGGCTCACGCCTGTAATCCTAGCACTTTGGGAGACCAAGGTGGGTAGATCACCTGAGGTCAGGAGTTCAAGACCAGCCTGGCCATTATGGTGAAACCCCATCTTAAAAAAAAAAAATAGAAAAGAAAATGCACTCCCTTCCAGACTTGAGCCATAGAGCCACAAATTCTGTGACAAAATAATCCACATACCCTTCTAGACTCTCAATCCTTTTTCTTCTGGAAGAATTAATTAGCAAACAGCACAGTTACGTTATGAGGAAGTCAACTGGCTTTCCTGGTTGAAAGATGTTCCAGAATCACCACTAAGCCCTTGAGTCTCTCTAAGGTCTTCTGCAGAAGAGACAGTCCAGCCTGTGATACATGTGTGGTTCTTCCTCAAACACAATTACAAGCATTAGCACTTGGAAAAATGAAATGCTCAGCCGCCTATTCATGTTTGCAGAGCCAAGGCTCACAGTTACATGATAACCTTATAAGAATTCAATTTGCTTTGAGAGTCAAGCACCAATCATATCTATTTGATGATATGTGACCATGGATTCTATCAACACCTAATATCCATATGGATTCACTGAAGCCATTACTCACCCACTGGAATAATTAAATTTATTTGAAAAGATGAAATAGTGTCTAGAATGTGGAATGAATGGTACAACTACTTTAGAAAATAGTTTGACAATGTCTATTAACTTAAACATACACCTATCCTCTGACTGAGCAATTCCATTCTTATTTACACTAAAAAGAAATAAAATTCTATGTCCACAAGAGCAAGAACGGTCCTAACAGCTTTATATTACCCAAGTGTCCATCATAAGGAGAACAGATTAAAAAATAACTATGGTATATCCATACAATGGAATACTGTTCAGGAATATACAAGCACAAACCACATGTGACAACATGCATGAACATCTAAAAACATTATTTTAACTAAGAGACGCCAGGTGCAGAAGTACACAGTGAGTGACCCTACTTACAGATTGTTCATAAGCAGGCAGTCTACCTTCAGAGAAGTAATAATGGTTACCTCGAGGGGTGTGTGTAGTGCCTACAAAGGGCATGAGGAGGGTTTCTGGGTGCAGAAAGTGTTTGACTTCCCACTCTGGGTGATGGTTACACAGTGATAGCCATATTTAAAGTCATTAAGCTGCATGCCTAAGATTCTCACATTTTACTGTCTAAAGACCTCTCAGAAAGTTGAATACATATATATATCTGAAACAATCCTGGCTGGGTGCAGTGGCTTTTGCCTGTAATCCCAGCACTGTGGGAGGCTGAGGCGGGTAAATCACAAGGTCAGGAGTTCAGGACCAGCCTGGCCATTATGGTGAAACCCTGTCTCTACTAAAAATACAAAAATTAGTTGGGTGTAGTGGCGCATGCCTGTAGTCCCAGCTGCTTTGGGGGCTGAGGCAAGAGAATCGCTTTAACTCAGGAAGCGGAGGTTGCTGTAAGCCAGTATCGCACCACTGCACTACAGCCTGGGTGACAGAGCAAGACTCCATCTCAAAAAAAAAAGACACAATCCTGGAAAGATGTTAGTAACATAGTGTTCAAGATATGGTAAAACAATGTTAAGCTATGTGATAGTATTTTTATTTAAAAAAAAAAAAAAAAACCTATAGGGCTGGGCAGGTGGCTCACACCTGTAATCCCAGTACTTTGAGAGGCTGAGGCAGCTGGGTCACCTGAGGTCAAGGGTTCAAAACCAGCCTGATCAATATGGTGAAACCCTGTCTCTACTAAAAATACAAAAATTAACTGGGCATGGTGGCGTGCGCCTGTAGCCCCGCTACTATATATGAACTTCCACTTCTGATTTGATGTAGTACCAGGAACTGGATTTATCCTCACCTGAAGTAACCAAAAAATTGTGCCAAGTATATGAAAACAAGGCACTACAAAGGAAATGGAGAATGGTGATACCTCAGAGACAAGAAAGAATGAGGCAAATTCCACAACTGCCCCTAGATTGCTGCCCTGAGTGAGCTTCCAGGCTGCAGCTAAGGAAGAGGGACCCCAGGCTGAGCCCAGAGTACTGCCTGGGCTTGGGAGAAGGCGCTCAGAGTCCAGGGAGAAGAAGGCAACAAGGGTTTGCTAGACAGAGTACCACAGAACAGACAGCTGCAAGGAGCTCTGAAGACCTGCCTGCCTGCAGAAGGTCCCTTCAAGCCTTCAGCTGGATACTGATGGGCCCAGGCACGGCCGTGTGTGTGTGTGTCTGTGTGTGTGTGTGTGTGTGTGTGTATACAGAAAATATCTTCAGCTGAGTACTGATGAGTTCATGCACGGCCGTGTATGTGTGTGTGTGTGTGTGTGTGTGTGTGTGTGTGTATGTGAATGCAAAAAATATCTGCAGCTGAGTACTGATGAGCCCATGCACGGCCGTGTGTGTGTGTGTGTGTGTGTGTGTGTGTGTGTGTATGTGCGTGAATGCAAAAAATATCTTCAGCTGAGTACCGATGAGCCCATGCACGGCCGTCTGTGTGTGTGTGTGTGTGTGTGTGTGTGTGTGTGAATACAAAAATATCTGCAGCTGAGTACTGATGAGCCCATGCACGGCTCTGTGTGTGTGTGTGTGTGTGTGTGTACAAAAAAATATCCAGCACAAAAATACCTAGCACCAAAGTAAACTTCTCAGTGTCTACTATCTAGTTTAAATTTTTTTTTCTTTTTTATTTTATGTATATTTTTTAAAAAATAAATATGGGGTTTCACTATGTTGGTCAGGCTGGTCTTGAACTCCCGACCTCAGGAGATCCTCCCTCCTTGGCCTCCAAAGTGCTTGGATTACAGGCGTGAACCACCATGTCTGGCTATCTAGTCTAAAATTATCAGGCACTCAGAGACAGAAAAACACGGCCTATAATGAGAAAAAATAATCAATCAACTGAAACTGCCCCAAAACTGACAGAGATGTTAGAATTAGCAGGCAACGATGTTAAAAGGGTTATTTTAACTATGCTACGTGCCTCCCATGGACCAATGAGCAGGCACCTCCTCCCCACTGAAGGCTTTTCTAGGTTCAAGAGAGAGGACAGAGAGAATGGAGAGACCACAAGAGGGCAAGACCAGCTGCAAAGAGAACTACCCTCTCCAGGGCCTCCTCTCTGCTGAGAGCAGCATTGGTCAGGATGACCTGCCTACAGAGACGAGCTACCCACTGTGGGTCTCCTCTGGATGTTTAACATTTAATAAAGCTCATCTTCATCTTCTTCATCCTTCGCCTGTCTGTGTACCTCATTCTTCCTGGACACAGGACAAGAACTCAGGCAAAGGTGCCACTGGCCACAGAGGTTTCCAGTTAGAAAATGAACACCCCAAGGAGACTTATAACATTATTATAAGGCTCTCATAGTAGTCATGAAGTAGATATAATACTTGAAGGTAGACTGTGATGTTACAGAAGTATAGTAAAAACCCTAGAGCAATGACTAAAATCACAAAGTATAGGTAATAAGCAAACAAGAGAGATAAAATGACATAATAAAAATTATTCAATTCATCTAAATGGCAAAAGGAAATAAAAGACAAGCAGAACAAAAAATAGGTATGAGAAATAGAAAACAAGCAGCAAGATGACAGATTCAAACCTCACCATATTAATAATCATATTTATATGAATAGTCTAAATAGCTCAATTAAAAGTCAACAAGAATCGTCATATTATGTATTTTTTTAAAAAGACAAAGGGTAGAAAAAAAGGTACCATGCTGATGTTAATCAAAGGAAAGTTGGAGTGGCTATATTAGACAAAGTAGGCTACAGATCAAAGAACGTTACCAAGGATATAGAAAGTCCTCTCATAATAATAAAAGGATTGATTCCTCAAGAACACATAACAATCCTAAACATTTAATCACTGATATGGTTTGACTGTGTCCCTACCCAAATCTTATCTTGAATTCCCATGTGGTATGGGAGGGATCCAGTGAGAGGTAACTGAATCATGGGGGCATGTCTTTCCTGTGCTGTTCTTGTGATAATGAGTAGTTCTCATGAGATATGATGGTTTTATAAGGGGGAGTTTCCCTGCACAAGCTCTCTCTCTTTGCCTGTTGCCATGTGAGGTGTGCCTTTCACCTTGACAATGATTGTGAGGTCTCCCCCAGCACATGCAACTGTGAGTCCATTAAACCCTTTCTCCTGTATAAATTGTCCAGTCTCAGATATGTCTTCATCAGCAGCATGAAAATGGACTAATACAATCGCCCAATAAAAAACTTCATGGCTAGGCCCGATAGCTCATGCCTGTAATCCCAGAACTTTGGGAAGCCAAGGTAGGTGGATCACCTGAGGTCAGAGGTTCAAGACCAGCCTGGCCAACATGGTGAAACCCCGCCTCTACTAAAAATGCAAAAATATTAGCCAGGCATGGTGGCAGGCACTTGTAATCCCAGCTACTCGGGAGGCTGAGGTGGAAGAACTGCTTGAATCTGCGAGGCAGAGGTTGCAGTAAGCCAAGATCACACCACTGCCCTCCAGCCTGGGTGTCAAGAGTAAGACCCCGTCTCAAAAAGGAAAAAAAAGACACTTCAAAATACATGAAACAAAAACTGATAGAACTGCAAAGAGAAACAGACCAATGTCTAAACACAGTCAGAAATTCATTACTCCTTGCTATGAATGAAATTGTGTCCCCTTAAAAATTCCTATGTTAAAGCCCTAACCCTCAGAATGACTTTATTTGGA